TCCAGCACCATATTCTCCGCTTTTAGTCCCTTGTGATTTCTGTTTATTTCTAAAAATTAAAAAAAAAATTAAAACGAAAAGTGGATTTATAGGCTTAAGAAATGCATTGAAATCAATGGCAATTTTGTAGAGAAGATAAAAAAGGAAAAAGATTATATATAATTACAAAAATAAAATTTTTTTCTGGTCAACTTACTAAACGTTTGTCATGCCACTCGTATTTATTTCAATAGATCGGTCCTCTACATAGAAAAAAATTCAAGTAAAAATAACTATGAATAAGATTTTTTTGAATAAATCCCTGGTACATTTACCGGAGAGGTAGTCTTGCTGCTTATCTATGTAAAACACCAAAATTTAGGTCGGTACCTGATCCACCTCTCCATGTGATTACATATACCGAGACAAACCTCAACGTAATAACAGTGATGTCTTTTTTCCTATAGGGATATGCATAATTAACAAAAAAAAAAGAAATATATATATATATATAAAAATATATGAAAAATATCATGAAATGGCAAAATATTTACAATATGGTACTTCAGCATATACATACTTAACAACAACAAAAAATTAACAAAAATAAAAAAAAATTAAAAAATGTACACTCACAAATGCTTAATAACACATGATATGTAAATATACTTATGAGTGTAAAAAAAAAACAAATGAAAATTTACTTAATCATAAAGGGAAAAGTATAAAAAAAATATTGTAAGTATAATTAAATAATTGGGGGCTTGTAAAATACAGTAGTTTTTGAAAACTCAAATGAATGTAGAATTTTAATGGTTTTGGTCACCTCAAGCTGGCAAATAATATGAATTTTGAAAAATATTCAAAAAGTGTTTCGATTATTCAAACATATATTTTCAAAAATTATTTTCAAAAATTAATACAAACAACTTTTCGTGCTTATGCTAAGGCTATCAAGCCATAGTATTTTTTAACCATTTATGACTTGCTCAACGACCACTATTTTCCAAAATTTATTTAAAAAAATTTTAAATTTCAGCAAATGCCATCTTTTTTTTTGTCCTTTGTATAAAACTTTACTTTTACAGTTATGTCAAATTGACAGTAGAAAGTGGACATTTTTTGCTATTTTGCTTCTATCTTTGCGTTGGGCATACCAATCGGTGTTTAAGCTTAGTCGCATACTTTTCGCCTTGTTGAATAATCACATATACATACATACATATGATACATATACAGGTTTTGAAAACCACAAACGCATTTTGCGATTTAACTTTCCTCACTTTGATCACAGGCAGAGAAACATTTTTGGTTACGTCAAATTCGATTACAAAGCAGATTGACTTGTGGTCTTGCCTTTGTGCACGTTGTTGGTATACTTTCGCGGCTTCAAGCGAAGTCAACTATGGGAGTAGTTGCAATTCGCTTTGAGTATGTTATGGACCGAAACGTTTTTTTCCTTACTAAAAAAGCTCAGCCACGTTCAATTAACAATTTGGACCTGTAAAATAGCAAAAATATTTTAATCAGATTATGTAGGTGCGGCCACAATAGTCGAGTGGTTGGCACTTCGGACAGCTATTCTGAAGACCAAGGCTTAAACCTGTCCTGTTCATAACGTCCAAAAATATAGAAAATATATTTTTCTAGTTGCCGTCGACCCTCGATAGGGAGTGCCAAGTTCTCCGAGTGTTTATTTTGACATGAAATAAAAGCTCCTTCAAAAAATCGCTCAGCCGTTTGGAGGCGGCTTAGAACAGCAGTTGGAACAGCATCAAGACGCACACCACAAATTTTAGGACGCTCTTTGTGACCGTTGAAGCGATTTTCGGCCGGACTCCTCCTCCAGTTTGTGGTTTTGCGTCTTGATATTGTTATAACTAATGGATGATCTTGCAGTTTATACAAAGCCTCCTCTGAACGGCTAAAGGCTTTCATGCGGAACTTTGATTTCATGCCAGAAATATACTGGGAAGTATTGACACCGCGACCGCAATTAAAAAATTTAACTTAATTTTTATTTTTAATATAATTTTTAAATGTTGGTCGCGCCAGTACTGGAATGGCAGTTCACAATGCTAACCACTCAGCTATCGCGGCTGAGGTAGGTAATATTTATTTTCAGCTCTAAAAGTAAGCTTTAAAGTGTGAAATCTTTGTTCATTTAGAAAAATAAATAAAATAAATTTTTTAAAAATTTCAAATTGCTTGTGATAGTCCCGAGATTTGTTTTTCCATAAACGCTGAAATGCCGATTCAATGCACGTCATTTTACATTCAACTTCTTTGCGCTCCTATGAGAGGATATCATTTTCTACAATAAAATTGCATTATTTTATATGCATTCAAACGCGCAGCGGCGCGCCACCATAAATAACTTTCCAAAAATAAAAACAACAAATATTTAATTTGAAGAAAAATGTAATAACTCAAGTTCTTATTTATTTACGCATAAATCCTTTCTTTGAAATTTATTAAAAATATCAACAAATTTAAGTGGCTTTGGCACTATGAGTGCTTGTGTACTTAGTAGATAAGAGGTGATGATGCTGCGCCGTGCCGCACAGGCACCGACAGTGACTTAATATCCGCTTCACAATGCTCACATAATAATATATATGTACATACATACATATCTCGGCTTCCAACGCCGAAGTTATACTTGAACAGTATTCCAAATTATATGTTTTTGAAAATCGTTTTGGTGAAATACGAAAAAGTTACTATAAAATATCATCTTTTACATAATTATATAAATATAATATATATAATTTATAATATATAATACATTATGTATGTATACGAGTATATAATATTCCATCTTTGTTTAGTTGTCACAAGCATATAAATACTTACAACGAAATTGGACCACTCAAATAAAACTATTGCTAAGCACTGAATTCAAGCTTTCGTGTATGTACAGCGGCGGATCCAGTAATGATTCTTAGGAGGGACGGCAAATTAATTTGTACACACTATACTTCCATGACTTTTGACCGAGTTTTCCCTCCAATTTGTGGTTATAAGTAGCATTTGTTCTTGTCAGATATACACTAAGAGGTTTTGACATTTCATGACTAGGGTCGGACCAGTTCTCAAATACTAGACTTCCGAATCGTGGTATAAACAGCTATTGCGCCCTATCAAAACCTAAAAATCTTTTTTAACCCACTATTTGCCTGCAATGCTACATAGATTTATAAATATTTTCTTAAAATAAAAACGCAGCTTCGCTTGAACTTTTATGAAGGAGGAGAATACACTTCATTATCACGACCGGGATCCACGCCTGCTATACATACATACATGAATACGTATATATACAGTTGTACTTTTCCCCTCTCTCAAACTTCTTTGGTATATTGTTGCTGTTGTAGTAAAAGTCAACAAGAAGTGTTGTGATAAAATCACACATAAGGCGGCAATAAAAATACGCAATGACTTCAAAAAATATGAACTCCAACAAGAGCTGCGATGAATTTTAATAAACGCGCTGCCGCATGGAGACTTTCAAATATGCTGCCCCGCGCCAATTGCCATAGAGAAAGCAGAGCGAAATGACTCAAGGAGCAGATAAAGAAAGGAAGAAGTGAAATATAGCGATGGTGTGGGAAGCTGCTCGCGGTGTGGTGCAGATTGAAATAGCCGAACGACGACGCAGCAGCGCCAACAGCTGCATGAATATAAGCAACCGAAGGCGCACAGAAAACAAAAAAGCAAGAAAAAAATCAAAACGAAAAAAAAAAATCAAGTCATCTCAAGCACAAAGCGGATGGAATATGTCAAAAAATAACAGTTATTTATTTGTATACAATACAAATGTGACATTGGTGGGGGTTTGCATAGCGACGGCACAGGAGACCAGAGCGGGTGATACATACAACCCGTTAAGGGTGGTTGAAGGGTTATTTGTAGAAAGTAGAAACTAAAAGATGCCATATAAAGTTAAGCAGTACAATGTGAACAAAAAATAAAACGCCCTTGACACCAGCAGCGAGTGTATTAGCTTGATGTGCGCGGGTGGGAAGTGTGCGGTTGAGGGTTTTGTGTACTTTTAGACTATTCCCAAGTTGGCACACGCTTGCTGTATGCTTTAATATTAGTGAAATGCGTTTGAGTACGACAAATCAAGCAGTAGATGAATCTTAGAAGAAAATATCGAGCCTCGAATTGAGCTTAATATGAAATGAAATTGAAAATAAAATGGAAATTAAAGCTAAATTATTGCTTAAAGATTTACAAAGCAATTTGCGCTCTAAACTGCAGTCAAAGAATTCTTCTTACAGTTAGAAGAATTGCTCGGTAGGTACTCCAAGCTTGAGGGCAGAATTTTTGAATCTGAAAATATAGGTAAATCCGCAGCAGCTTGCTCGCTTGCCTCGCTAGTAGTCAACAAAAGAAGGCGCCGGAAAAACTCTTTGCAGTGCAAGCTTCATCGGCAGCGCAGCAACAATACCAACTACAAAAGCAAACTCTTAGATTTGTGCGACGATAAAAAGCAAAGGGAGTAAACGTGGTGTGTGTTTACACAGCATGGCGCGTTATGAATAAAATAAGAAAACAAAAACAAAAAACAGGAAAATAAAGTCAATGGCAAATAGGACCTGAGTGCGCACCCTATGCTTGTGCATGCCGAAATGAACCATATAAGAGTGAGTAGACCAGTAACAGGCATGGCATATAATGTGCAACTACTCACACAGATAACGACACAGTATTGCTCTTCAATACCGAGTAAATATGTTCGCCACGGTAGCGGGTGTGTCTGCTTATGTAGAAGATGACTGCGTACAAGAGAAATTAAAGCGGGACAGCATGCTATGTGACTAAGAAACATGTATGTCTTCTCACTTCTACATACATAAGGCATACGAGAGGCAATCTTACCATCTTTCGAGCCAGCAGCGAGCTTCCATATAGCTGTTGCGCTCACACCACCAACTGTTCATCGTTTTCGCTGCTGCTGCTGTTCTCTCTGTGCTTGCGTGCTGTGTGATATGTTCTTCGGTATGCTGATAACGGCAAGTCGTGTGCTTGATGGCCTAACGCGCTGGTAAATAGAATTTCACAAATCAGTTCGTTGTTTTCCGCTGCGGCATAGTTATCGTGTGATTTCGTACATGTCGCGCTGAATACAACTCAATATCTAGTGCATTTTAATATTCCTTTGACTGTAGCGCGTACAAACAACGCGCATTGTGCTCTACACCATTCAGTGAATGTGAGCTACAAAGTGTTCGCAAAAACACAAGATTTCCAGTCATCCTGTGCAGCAGAATTGGCAGTAGCGTTATAAGAAGGGGTGACAGTGCAGCGTCCGCCCTATTCCAGTAGTGTAGCAAGCAGCGGCAGCAACAATAGATAACTTCGGGAGTCTCATATATTAGCAAGCAGCGCGTGCTCGTACTCTCTCACGCTTTAAATGGTGTGTTGTTGTTATTTTTGTAATTGATATTTGTGTATATAGCTTTGTTTTTTGTTTTTCTCGTACATATACATATGTCACCGTGCAAGTGTGCGCTTATGTGTGTGTGTTTTACTGAGGGGTGTTTGTGTTAACCAAAAAAAGCGCCCAACCAGCACACCAGCCAGCCGCAGCTAACAGTGTCATCATTTACTTGACAACAAACATACAAACATACATGCATACAAATATATGTATGTATGTATGCATATAGTCACATATCCACTACTCATCCAGTCGATACATTTGCGTTTCAAATTTGATTTCAATTCAGATACGTCTCGTTACCGATGCAGACGCGTTTCCGTTTTCCGCTGCTACCAGAAAAAACAAACATATACATACATACACGTACTGATTGTGACGTCATACACATTGTTATTCATTATTAGTTGAAATCGAGTTAAGCCAGAAGCAGGAAAATACCGAAAAAGTCCATTTTTTTGCTGCAAAAAAAAAAAACAGAAACAGAAAAGTTTGTGCATATTTTCAAAACAAAAACAACAGAAGTGATTGAGTGTCAATAGTGTTGAGGAGAAAAACAAAAATTGTAAATTTGAAAGCGTCTAAGCGACAGCTTAACCTAATTACACGAGCGGATTAAATTATTAGAGGACAAAGCCAGTAGGAATCCAATCAAAAGCCAACTATATACATACTTACATGCATATATATACATATTGAAGCGAAGTGTGGTGTGTCTATGTGCGCATGTGTGTGAGTTACTGCTGTGTGCATAAGCATAAAATAAAATTCAAGCTCTTTAACGCGCTTAATCTCTACATAAGTACTGGGTGGCTATTTTTTCAAAATTGTTAGCGTCTGCAGACAAAACGATAATTTTTTTCTTTTATTTGGTGGTAGAGATAATAACAGAAAAATAACACATTATTCAATGACTGTGAAAATAAAGTGGGCCAAATGTTCTAAAAAAAATAAACAATAATGTTTTAAAAAGTGGCAAAATATCGAAAACAATAATTTAGCAATACATAAATACTTTGAAAAGAAAAACGAAAATTCCTTTTAACAATATCATATTAAAAAAAGTGTTAACTAAGAAGTGAAGTTATTTTAAAAAGAAGAACTTAAGAGTTACATCAAATTGGGCTTAAAAATAATGAAATAAAATAACTGAACAACAACAACATTAACGTTGTGAAAGTCAATATATGCGCTCTATATATTTGCTTTAATACATAAACTGCCGTTTGAGACTACACGCGACGGCGTCGATTTTGATTTGTGCTCATACAAGCCGTCGGCTAAACACCTACACATCCATTTATATGCATATGCATAAACATATTTAGTGTAAGCAAATTAAAAAAATATGTACAGTTATCCAAATTTATATAAATAGCGCGAATAATATAAAACTAAAATATAATAAAAAAGCTTTACATAGAGAAATATATGAACTTAATTTCTTCAAAAAAAAAAAAATAAAATAAAATAAAAACTAACAAAATAAAAGAAAAGTAAATAAATAAATAAAATTATTGAAAAGAACATATTGATGAATTGGTGTGACTAAAAATTTGTCAACTTCAATTCGATACAGTGCAAGTGGATTAAACTTTGATTCCCACCTTTTCTTCTTCTGTCTTGTGTCTCTTAAGGTAAGATGCGTATGTATGTACATATTCGTTTATTCGTCTGCACTTTTTCCTCCAATTTGATTTGTTGTTTTCGGTTAAGCAGTGAACGTGACTTTTATCAATTTATATACTCGCTGTGTGCCATTTCTCTTCCCTCAGACATTCATCAAATTGGGGATCATTCGTGTGATTAGGATGTTTTTTTTTCAGTTTATTAGAGTTTTTTCTATTTGTAAGCAATAGATGCACATATACATATATTATATAATGAATAAAAAACCAATAACTTAATTAGGAGAACCGAAAAGAAATTAATAAATTTTAGTTTCTTTTTGTATAGTTCATAAAAAAATTGTTAAACAAACGAAAAAAAATAATTGTAGCGCCGCAAAGTTTAAAAATAAGCAGCTCCTACATACATCAAATTATAAGGAAAAAATTGAATAAACGTAATGCATATAACACTCTAGCGATTTTTTTTTTCAAAGTATTTTATTTAATCTTTCATTTCGAATACTGACAATAATTTCGAAAATAACGAAATTGATTCTTATATAAAGTGTGATTTTTTAATAGATTTAGAAAAAAATTCCAAAAAAACACATAAAATTCAGAAAAATGCATGAAAAGTTTATTTAAATCGATAGTACGGTACATGTAATTTAATGTTTGAAGATTTTTTTATGCAAATGTTGAATGTTGGTCCATCCGCATAGTTCATTTTTGGCATATTCTTTCCAACATTTCGGCCGGTATCTCTTTCGAATAAATGCTTCAATGTTGTCCTCCACTGCGTTAATTGAAGCGAGCTTGCCTGTATATACATTAGATTTGATATAGTTCCACAAAATATAGACTAAAGGCGTTAAATCGCACGATCTAGGCGGCCAATCGACCGGTCCCGAACGTGAAAAAAAATGTTCAACGAACTCGCCTCTCAATTGGTCCATTGTTACGCGTGCTTTGTGGCATATGGCACCGTCTTGTTGAAACCACATGTCATGCAAGTCAAATTTTTGCATTTTGGGTAAAAAAAATTGTGATATCATCTCACGGTAGCGCTCACCATTCTCAGTTACGTTACGATTCGCATCATCTTAGAAGGAGTACGGTCCAATGATGCCACCAGTCCATAAACCGCACCAAACTGTGACCATTTCTGGATGCATTGGTAGCACTTGCAATGCTTCTGGCTGATCTTCACTCCAAAATCGACAATCCTGCTTATTTACGCATCCATTAAGCCAAAAATGAGCTTCGGCGCTGAAAATAATTTTTTTTTTGAAATTTCTTAACAGAGCACGCATTTTGATAATAAAATTAAATAATTTGCGAGCGTTGTTCATTTGTAAGTCGATTCGTGGTTAAATTATAGACCAATCTGAAGATGTTTGACAGTGATAATAAACACGAAACGTGCGTCAGCTGTTTAAACCAGTATTGCCAATAAGAGAATAGCTAAAAAATCACCCTTTATAAAGCAAGTGTTTGATTGCCACGTGTGAACGCTCTTTTATCACAACACCCGTTATCTTGTAGTAACGAGAAGCCTTGCTTTTTTTCTTCTTTTTCTCAATATCATAGGTTATAATTTCTCTAAGTGTTTTAAAATTAAATTGAATACAATTTTTATCTAAAATTTCAAGAAATTTTGAAGGGGAATCGTATTCAGGATTAGATGTAAATACTTTGGAAAAATGCGTGGCAAATGAAATATCATTTTCCTGGTTGCTTCGAACACACTCACCCATTACATTTGAGTACTGGTTAAACTAAAAAAAAAATAATAAAACTTATCTTATCTGTCAACCGAAAAATAGATTCAATTGAGGCAAGTTTTTGAATATTTTGAATCAATATTTTAAAACTCTTTTCGTATATTATTATTTTTTAGATTCTCTGCATATTGCTGAATAATTCTCCAAAGGACATGCCAAGTCAAAAATATTCTATAAAAGTGCGCGAAGAAAAGAAAAAAAGGTTTATTTACATTATTTTCTTAAAATATGTGTGTGAAATTTCTTGAACTTCCATAGTGCAGCTGCATTTTCTATAGTTTACCATTTTTTAGGTCTTCTTTCAGTGAAATCTTATTGTAATTAGATCAAAATTAGTATAAGAAGAAATACGCCAGTGCATGAAGTATGATTCAAACCAAGTATTTCTTTAATCAAGGTTTTTTTGATCATAAAAATGCAAACTTTTTTTTTTAAATTATGCATAGACAGCTTTTATTTCGATTTTTTTTTGCAATTTATTCTGCTCTACTTAGAGTTATCATGCTCAAAAGGATTTCCCAGAAAAAACAAAAAAAAAACACATAATATATGGAATGGTGCTGAAGAGAGTTATGTTCTTTAAAGCAATTTTTCTATTCCTTTCGAAAAATTATGCTGTAACTAATATTTAGATTCCATTTTTTTGGAAAAACATCACGACGCAAAACCACAAATTATAGTAGAAGCTCGGCCGAAAATCGCTCTTGCGTACGTGAAAGAATTGTTTTTCAACTCAAATCTCCTTACAACTGCTTAGAAGTGAGACATTTTTCAATTAAACGAAACTTCGATGAGTGCCTTTAGTCATATCTATGTACATACGAGTATGTAATTTAATGAACACTTAGCTCTATATTAGCTGATACCGAATAAAGTAAATTCCATTCCATCAATTGCTTGAAATGAGCATTTCATACATCTCACCATGAAGTAGTGGATTAGGTGCTTCTTGACATTCAATTGGCTGCAATAAGAAGATTAGGAAATTTGAAGATGTCTCTTTGATGTGCACCGCCATTATATAAAATAACATTGATATTTTATTAATGTACATATATGTATTAATAAACTAGGGCGAAATTAATTAATTTACAGTCTTAAATAATTGTTATTGAAAAATTTAAAAATATGTAACTTCTGGTGTAAGCTTCTTAGTGTTAGAATATGAAATTATATATGTACCACCGTAATACTTGCCAACGTGGTAGGCTATTCTCAGAGATTTATTACTAACGTAATTACTCATAATTTTTTTTGTTCTGAGTTGGCTGAGCTCACTAAAGGAAAATCTCTTGTTGTTATACGAAATACTAAGGCCCTTCATTTGTTGGGAAAACATCAATCGCCAATTGGAGGAGCAGCTTAGCCGAAAATCGCGTCAGCGGTTACCGTATGAATTTCTCTGCTTATATGCAATATATACAAATAGATATTTATAAACATGCAAATATATATTTATATATATATATTTATATATATTTTTATATGTATTTATGTATATATATGTAATTTCATAAGTGTCTTCTATTCACAATTTAAAGAAATGGAAAAAAAGAAGAATATAATAAACATAAAGAAAAAT